GAAAGAGAGAGAGAGAGAGAGAGAGAGAGAGAGAAAAAGAGGGAGGAAGAAAGAGAGAGAGAGAGGGAGATCGCCTCCTAGGACTAGGTAGCTCGGCAAAGATCACGGCACCGGGCGTGGGAACAAGGCCCCTCCTGCTACGAAGCCTGGTCTGTGTTGAGCGCGGACGAGCGAGCGAGCGAGCGAACGCGCGCCGCTACTCCGCCGCGCGGAGAAAATTACCGCCGGTTTCCTCGGCGTGTAGCGCTTAACAGTACCTCGAGTGCCTTATCGGAACGGTCTGTAACCCCTCGTTCAAAGTCATCCTTACGTAGGCACCGGGGCGCACGCGACTCCCGAGGCCGCAGCCTGTTGCGTCTCTCACCTTTCTTTACTTCTTTTTTTTTTTTTTTTCTACGCCGGTTCAATCGAGGTCGCGTGGAGAGACTTGGTGTAAACTTTCGGTGTAAACCCAATATTAATTCACGACGACGCGGTAAAGTGATTTGTTCAGAGGATTATATAGAATTATATTCTATATATGTGAGAATCATGAATTTTGATTGATTCTATTAATTTTCATCAATTCTGGATTGATAAAAATGCAAAAGATGTTATATCGCGCGAAATTTGCAAAGCGCTACTCCATCGATTTTCCATCGTCGGTTATTCGATGAAAATCACCGGTTGTTGTTTTACGCCACGGTTCATCGAACTTGAACGAAGCTAAAACACGCCAGGATGCGTCGATTATGGCAGCTTATCAGACTACACGGCACGTCGATTTTTTCCTATGCGGTTGATAACGGCCGACGCAGAAATGGATTTGATTGTAGTCAATGAGCTGGGGGAAGGAGGACGAAGCTCGGTCAAGGCTTCGTTTATTTACATCATGCAAAGTGCATCGCGTTCACATCGTCGCCGAGACGACCGGTGCATGTTCGTGAAGGCGCCTGTCGCGCGCCTATCGATTACTTTCACTTCATGATACAATGTAGTCGCGGATTAATTAGAATTATTTCGATAACGGTGTGAGCGCGCCGCGAGAAATTTTTTTTTTTTAATGTCAGATTCTTTTAGAGTAAAAAAAGAAGTGTGTTGTAATATAAAATAAACATATTAAAAAGCCTTGGTAAAAATAGAAATGACGCACGTTGCCGGGTGCACGTAGCGGGAACAAAGTCAAGGGGGGCAATCAAGTGGAAATAATTAGGTCGAACTAATTTAATCATAATTTCCGATTCAACGAACTCCGTCCTCCTGTCCGACGAAGGATTGCGAAGTTTCCATTAGCATGAGCAGCAATTAAGTCGCCGCGTTTCCAGCTGCGTGTCTAAGATCTTTTCCTAAACTGCGACGCACGCCTGCAGCACTCGCGACGTGCCCGGCGTTGTTTTATTTCCAATTTTCTCGCGCGCTACTCGCAACATCTGTTACTTCGCTTCTGGCGAAGTCATATAGTCGAGCGGGAAACGAGATTTTAATTAAACTCGATCCCGAAGAGAGGAGAGAGAGAGAGAGAGAGAAGAGACGCGTCGCAGCATCGCGACGACTCATCAGACGCGCCGAGAGATTCACCGTGTTGCCAGTCTACGAAGTGCACTTCCGCGCAAATGTGTGTCACGAGTTTCCCACGAGATGCACCGGCGAATGGTGCGGCATAGGCGCGGGCATAGACCAATTACTACCGCAAAGAGATTCTCATTGACTCGCACAATTTGCGCGCGAAGCACCGATCGATCGTAGCGTAGAAAAATCCACGCGTCGCTCCTAATGACGGTCACGACGGTTGAATTGGCGTCAAAGCCGGCGATTATTCAGCAGATTACCGATGTTCGCATAACTGTTCAGGCACTACGTTACAACGTAGCCGCGATTAATCCTCGGCTCTAAGTAGACCACGTACTTAATCCTTGGACACTTGACCTTTTGACGAAAACTCGCCAAGGCTCTGATAGCAGCAGATAAGTCATCTCGACAAATTCAAGTCGATTGTTGCCGAAAGACTTTACAATGTCTTTAAGCATCGTCGTTGGAAGAAAAAAAGGGAGAGTCACAGGAAATGGAAACGGAAATAAGTACCGCGAGTTCTCAAGCCACCTTTGTGTTTTCCAAGAATCCAAATTGTTCCCGAGATTAGTACATTTTGCGAAAATGCGCTAGCGAAGTTCTTACTGTCGCCGCGAAATGTTCCTCGTCTGCGGCGAGCCGCGGTGAATATAAGTGGTCGATCGCGAGGGGTAAATGGAGTCATGGTTTGTTCGTCGAGGCCAACAAGAACGCCGGCGAGATGCAACGGTATACGTCATAACATTCCCACGGTGAATCGGCCGGGCGTTCCTACCGACCGAGATGCGTCGGGAAATCACGGCTTGCCGTGACTAATCGTGACTAAACAACGACGCTTCCAAGTTCGCGAGATTAGACTTTTAGTACTTTGTTTCCGTTCCGGCTTTTCCGCTTCTGTGTACTTCGAAATCATAACGCTTTAGTTCTTTGTAATTGGATTCTGTTATTTTTTATTCAACTTTACTAAGTGAATCTTGGAAAATAAATAGAAATATCTATTTATTTGTTGCGTAATTCAGTCTATTTTCCAATTTGAAATTTGACCAAAAACCGTTGTTGTGTATATATAAGGCGTATATTTATAGGTGTATATTTATAATTATATAAATATTATCGTTCTTACTCCATTCAGAATCTGAATTTTTATATAGCCCGTATAATGACGTAATAATGTATACTTATAGCCACGGTACTTAACAAGATACACGAGTTCCAGGAATAAATCGAGTCGGATTATCCCGGATTTCGCAATCGCGCTTCGCAGCGGGCGATTCTTTCGGGTGACTGGACGAAAACTAGGCAAGAACGGGTCAAAGAAACGCAGCGGGGAACGCTCGAAGCAACGACATGGTGCGCAATCAGCCCGTTCGCGCTCATTATGACCCCATGATAGTAACGACAGTTCGCGCAAAATCCTGGAAGTCTGCGCGTTGCTTTTTACACTATTGCAGTACGCTGTAACGGTAATACAGTTGGAGCGGGGAAAAAAAAGCGCGGCTGCCAGAGTCTGAACGAGGAAAATTAGAAATTACAATTAGCGCAGGCACGCGCGTTTCCCAATACGTGCACGCCTTACCGGGAGCGTGAGAAACCGAGCGGTCCGCGATTTTTTACCGGTACGCACCGATAGATCGCGATTATTCCGCCGAGCTCGACGACGGCGTTTCGGTTCATTAGTGGATTAATCGCCGCTGGATTAGCATCCGGCGACCGTGCAGCTTGTTATCGCGCACTTCTTTGTCTTTTCTAGTCTAAGTCCAGATTGGAGGCTCTCGCGCGGGGATTGCGGATATTTATGCAAATGAGAATCTTATTACGGACGAGTGAGTCTCGTAAGAGAAGATATTACGTAGGTAGTAAAATAACAAATACATTCTTCCGTTTTATAATGACATATTAATTGCCGGTAGTAAACAGGCAGATATCTTCCACGCTTCTCTTATTCTGCTTATATGCAATTCTGAGTTTAGAATTTCTATTTTTTATTAATCTTGATTAATATTCATGCAAACAAAATGACCAAGTAGTTTGCAACATTTACAGTTAATTAACGCTCGTATCTCATTGTGATCGATTCATTGATTTCTCAGAGCGAATCGAGGTTATATCACTCCTGTGCACATATTTGCTCAGGAAGCACGGCAAGTTCGCAAGATAAAGTCACCAAGGTGTAAACTCGACTTCCTTCCTTGTGTATTGTTAGCACAGCGGTTTCGAGCATCCGTTTTGCGGAGAAAGCGGATCGCCCGGCGCACTTTAACACTTGGCGTTCGTGCGGGCCGCTTCCGGTACGAAACGTGCGGTTTCCGGCGCATGTACAATATCGAGTACGCGCCTCGGCATATCGATCAGTCAGTAAGAACCGGGCTCTCGTGAGCACCAGTCGGATCGACGCAGCACTCCCGGTTTACTTTCAAACCGGGCTCACTCCCGCGAGGACAAAGACTTGCAAAATATTTCATTAATATATTTCAAATTCTTCCGAAAGAGTTATTTCTCATCTGTTAGTAAATATATTAATGTGCTTTGAATAAAATTTGCGAGTGATAAATTAAAGTGTTTATAAGTGATTCTGTAAATTAATTCGCAGACTGTTAAAATAACGATAAAATATTCAATATTAAAAAATCCGCGCGTGAATATTAATATAGCTGAGAAAGGATTCATCGTGATTCTTGGGGGATCTGTCTTTATGGTAATACCAACCGACGTCTATCTTCGCCGATCGCCCGGGAGCATCCCCGCATTCCAGATCGGCGAGCCGGCATTATGAAATACCAGAGTGGAAACGCTCGACGAGCTCCGACGAGAGGTGCTTTTGCATTCGAGTCCCCCGATCGAATTTCCCCCTCTTTTCCCTGCGCTACTGGAGTACTCCGCCTTTGTTCCGCTGTTCCGAAGTGGCCACGTACTTGAAATGAATTTCCCGGTCGCGCTAGAACGCCGATGGCCTATTTCTTTCGGCGGCGACACTTCGGTCCTTCCGATCGCGCGCCTCGGGAAAAAGAGAAATCTAATGACTTTGCAGTAACGCCTACGTGCGAAACGGTCGATCGAAAGGTTGGAGCGATTTTTCAAACGATGGCATGTTCGTTAACTAACACCGCTATGAAAAGGAATAACGAATTTTACCAAATATAAATTAAAACGTCGTACGTCATTCCTCCATAAATTTGCTTGTCAAAGAATCCTAGAGAAATCGAATATTAAGATCTTAAAATTAATTTTTCTGGAACATTTCATAACTACTATCGCCTTGGAAATAGAAGAGAAATATATTATTTAAGTATGCGCATAAATAATATTTCTTTTTTACGCATTCCAGCAATGTTAAAATATGAGACTATAAAACGCGTGTACAAAACAGCACGATAAAGCCTGTCGGTTTAGAAAATAAATTATCATAATATAATTATCGGTCGTTATCAATGTTCAATGTTTTTTTGTTGCAGCGCCCAGATCCTCGAGCGCTGGAACCAACAACCTGCCGCCGTTGACGTTTCACCACGTGCACGGTGACAACATCAGGCTGTGCAACGGCGGCACGATCGCCCGGAGGCACGAGAGTTTTTGCAAGGGTGTCACCTTTAGCGCCAGGCCCGTGCGAGTGGGCGAGAAGGTGAGACCGATCGCGCGCCAACGGCATTTAGATCATATTCATTCGCGCGTCGATTGTGGGAAACCGACGACTCTCCGTTCCGCTCGAGAAACCGCCGGTTGCATTCCACGGATATAAAACGGACCGCCGCCGGTCACCGCGACCGTGAGCGGACATTTTTTACACGTAGGTCGCGCGCGCTTTGCATGTCGTCCGCGTTGGAATTACGAATGTTTGTCGTTTGCGTCGGATATCTACGAACGAACTTATCGCATATCCGTTTACAGTTAGGTAACACGAGTGGACCGTATAATCGCGCTAAACGGCGGCCTAAACAGTTCTCGACGGGGCTGGCCGGCTTTTTTAGGATCTTTTACAAATACGTGTAGACCGGTCGCTAAACAAAACACGTGGGTGTCGATCGTTAAGTGTTCAGGCGTGTTTTCGGTTTCTGCTAAGGCGAATTAAGGCTAATCGCGTACGCGCGTAGTTGTAACATTATAGTGACGTACGGCCACGTGGGACGCGATCAAATATAATTAATTCGCGAGGATGGCTCGAATAAAACTCCATTTTTGGATCGCTCGTCCGGCGCCTCTGTTGCAATTTCGTAACTTTTCTGTTTTCTAAATTAAATTCCGTTTTAGACCATCTGTAACTTGCGATAGTCTTTCTGATTTTTTCAAATGTTTTCTGCAGTACATAAAATTAATGGAAATAAATAATGAATAAAAATAGAAATAATTCTGTCGCGAATTATAGATTATCCAACACACACAATTGTACTACATGGTCGTTTTTCTATGAAACACAGGTATGCGTGAAGTTCTTGGAGATCTCGGACAATTGGAGCGGCGTGATTCGCTTCGGCTTTACCAGCAACGATCCGATTAATCTACGGAGCGGTCTACCAAGGTACGCGTGTCCGGATTTAACAAACAAGCCTGGTTACTGGGCTAAAGCTCTCGCGGAGAGGTTCGCCGAGAGAGACGCGGTACTTTTCTACTATGTCACATCGGCCGGCGACGTACACTTCGGTGTGAACGGCGAGGAGAAGGGTCTCTTCTTCAGCGGCGTCGAGACCCGCGGTCCATTATGGGCGATCATCGACGTTTACGGCAACAGCACGGCGATCGAGTTCGTCGATCCGAATCGTCAACACTTCAATAATATTCGCAGAGGCGCCGAGCACAGCAACGAAGACAATGCGCAGCACAGCAGACATTCGGCGATGGACGATGCCAGCAATGCCGGCCGCGACGTCGAGAGGATCATCGTGCCGTCCATGCAGAGCATGTCGATCCATCACGAGCCTGACGTCGAGCTACCCGGGCTCAGGTTTCAGCCCCCCGGCGTCATCTTCACTCCTCTGCCCTTCCACTCGTGAGTATCGAGCGAACACGGATCGTCTAACTCTCGCGTTTCAACCCATATGTTTCGGAACCCGAGTTTAATGCGCGCCGCGTCGCGGCGAAAAGTCTTGTACTTGTTAACTGGTCCGTTCGTGGTTCTAGCATTCCTAATTAAGCTGATTTGAATCGCGGTTGAGAAAAAAATTACCCGACTCGCATGCTTTCTAACGCCGTTTGCGCAATCTCGTTTACGTATCTGTATTTAATCAGACTCGTCCGATCAAATTAGCGGTATTTTTTTACATTACCCGACGCGATAGTTCTCTTCGAGAACACTTGCGAAAGTTGAAAGTCATCTATAATATAGAAGCGTCATTCGGCGCTCTCAAACGATTCGTCGCGCCGCACAGAACTAATTCGCCGTCCGCTTTTCACGGTTTCCCAAAGACATCCGTCATTAAAGAGCGAGCGAGCGAGCGAGCTTGGTCCGAGTCGCGGCTAACCGCTTCCTGGTCTTCTTTCTCCACAGCACTCGGGGCAGGAACATCCGCTTCAGTAACCAGCAGTGCGTGGCGACGCGCACCGACACGGAATTCTGTCACGGCTACGCCTTCACGAGCCGGCCGTTGCTGCTGGGCGAACGACTGGTCGTGCAGATCCTCTCGACGGAACCGATGTACGTTGGTGCTCTCGCGCTAGGCCTGACTTCCTGCGATCCCGCGCGACTCACCGCCGAGGATTTGCCGGATGACAGCGATCTGTTGCTGGATCGACCGGAGTATTGGGTAGTTTCCAAGGATGTAGCGTCGAGTCCACAGCCCGGCGACGAGATCGCCTTCACGGTCACGCACTACGGCGCGGTGCAGATGAGCAAGAACGGCGGCCCGCCCAACGTCGTCATGCATGTCGATCAGAGCCTCCAGTTGTGGGCGTTCGTGGATGCGTATGGTAGCACTCAGCGGGTGAGAATGCTGGCGAGTCGACCAACCTCGCCGCCCCGGCAACGTAATCCCTCGAGTAATCCCTCGCCGGCCACTGTCGTTCAGCAGCAGCAGCAGCAGCAACAGCAGCAGCAGCAGCAGCAACAGCACTCGAATCACAGCAACGCTGCCACGGAATTGTCCCGGTTCTCCGAGATGGTGCAATTCAAACCGGCCGTGGGCGGTGGCACCGTGCTCGTCGTCAATTTACCGCCCCAGGCCGGTTATCCGACGCCGCCGCCGCCCACGCCGCAACCGATTTACGCATCCGCGACGCACAGGAATCCGCCGCCGCAACCGGTGCACCTCTCAGCCGCGGCCGCACCCGTCCCGGTAACGCATCCGGGATCCTCCAAGTCCTCGCCGCCATTGACCGGCACCATGGCCAGCACCGGCTCGTCCACGTACGTCGACCCGGTCACCTATCAGAGCCTGGACGGCACCCTGACGTCGTCGCACGCGGCGACGTCGTCTCATCTGCAGCAATGGAGCGAGGGCTTGCAGCCGACGCTCACCGGACAGCCGAGCGAGTGCTCGATCTGCTACGAGCGCAGCATCGACAGCGTGCTCTACATGTGCGGCCATATGTGCATGTGCTACACGTGCGCGATTCAGCAGTGGCGCGGCAAGGGCGGCGGCCACTGTCCGCTCTGTCGCGCGCCGATTCGCGACGTCATCCGCATCTATCGGTCCTGAACGATCCGGAATTGAGAAAGGAAGAAAAAAAAAGAAGAGAGAGAAAGAGCGCGCGCGGACATCTTCTCGGTTCCCACTGCCGTGTCCATCATTGTGCTTCCGTCGTCTTCGTTTCCTTCCGCGTCGAATCCGTCACGCTTCATCGCGTTTTCTCGCCCCACCCTCCTTCTGTCTCGCGACCACCAGAACGAACGGGGCGGGTGCAAAAGCCGAGACCGGAAATCATCGTTTTCACACGCTGCCGTATCTCTTTTTCTATTGAAACGTTAGGCATCTTTCAAGGAGTAAAATAAATAGATAAACGAAGCGTGAGGTCTGCTCGGGATCGCCAAGTGCCAAGTCGCACCAAGGAATTATGCTGTTAAGATTTTTAGACACTTTGCGACGCGTGTCTCCGCGTCGCTGTCAATTAATCTGTCAATGTCTGACGCCGACGGATCGTCGCGTCGTGCACAAAGAAAGCAAACGGTGCTTTCGAAATCGCGATCACTGCCATCTTTACCGATCAAGCGAGAACGCGAGGATGAATTGCCGCGGATGCGAACGAATGAAAGAGAGAGAGAGAGAGAGTAAAAAACAAACCGCTGTAGTTGATTGAGTTTGCTTGTATATCGGTATCCCGTCTGTTGTTGCGAGTGAGTGAGATGCGAATGAATGAATGAGTGCGTACCGTGCGACTGCGTCATCGATAAAAGAGAGACAGATCGACCTTAGATATTTTCACAAGCGACATAATCGTTATTACCACTACCAATTACTACTACCGCTCTGATCTATCACTATTACTACTATTACTATTACCGCTACTATTATACTACTCTTCCAGCCTTTAATTATTATTTTATTATTATTACTATTATTATTATTCTTAATATTAAAGCTATCGCTATACTATTAATTATATTATTAGTTATTCGTTTCGCTGTAATTGTCTTTATTATTTACGAGCAGCAAGCTTTGTTTGCCACGATCACTATTATTTTTACGATTTACCGATTATACTGTTGATTGGTGAATTAACATAGTCACTATCTCGTAGCGTGATTATTATTTAATGAATCGTGTGATTATGTAGCGCGAACTTTCCGATATCGGACGCCTAAGACATCTGGACAGTGTGTTCTCGTCGTCCTAAAACGATCAAATGGACCTCGTCTTTATTGCTTCTAAAGCGTAATTATGGCTCTAAATTGCTCGTTTTTTTCTGATTATTTCCGCTTTGAATGATAACGCTTCAGCGTCCATAATCAACGCCGACGTGTCAGGTGGAGTTTTACCAAAGATCCTCAGCGTTTTCCACCTATTTTTCCGTTATCAGTCCTTTGCAACATTCAAACGCGCATTAAGAGCCTTAAGGACGATAGTCATTAATTCTAACGATCCATTTCGTTATACACGCACAACTTTTCAGTCACTAGCACAAATATTGATCGAATATTGGCTAGAGAGATTTCTGAATTCTATTAATTGAGTCTACAAGATCCTACAGAAGTCAAGGCAGAAAGTAAGGCAGCTGATGTAATGCGAACTTTTATAATCAAATTTTTATAGATTACTACTTTAGCGCAGTTTAAAAATTTTTCTAGATTTCGCATATCAACTGTTCGTATTGATCCATTAAATGTAAAGAGTGATATTCTTGTTGGACTTTGACTTTTTGATACTTTTGAAATTGTGGCTTACGCGTCCGATGTGTCTCGCAATGTAAACAATTTTTTATGTTTTCGTAAATGTGAATCCACGTACAGTGCTGTTCGATTCGATATGAACGAGAACGAGGCTGTCCATATGCCAATTATTACCGTAAAAATCGTCCGTGTTTTATTCGCCTACTTGAGAAAGGACGATGAATTTTCCACGGTTGAGAGAAAACGACGAAATAATTTTCGAGCCAAAGGGGACGACACGTCTGGCCCTTTAAAGAATTAATTTTTAACGAAAGCGAGAAGCGAAGAGGAGGAGGAGGAATCCTCCCCTCGAATATAATAATGGATGCGCAATAAAGCTGTAGTGAAAATCTCTAGTCCTGCGAGCGGCAGGCTCAGTCTGCCAATCCAAAAAGTATGATGAAAAGAATGGGGTAAAGCTTTTTTCTTTTGCTTTTTAAGTAAACGGAAGAGGGAGATAAGTAGATATACAAGGGAAGAAACCGAGAAATTTTATAGATAACGAAAAGATGCAAATTATTGCACGCGTCTGCCAGAAAACGGCGCGTCCAAGATTCTATTATTAAAACAATACGATAAGAGATTATATTATCCTATATTGATACGATACGACATGAGAACGGTTCATGAGTGTCACCGTCGAAGCGACGATAAAATACGCGCACGAGGGAGAGAAAAAAGGTAGAATAAAAGAGAGAGAGAGAGACGCTTGATAATAATTACGATGAATGTTCATGATTGCTGTCATCGTTATCGTTGTGATTAGTTGTCGTGTTATTCTGTCGTCAGCTTGACCGCGCCTCGATCATATCCTACGTTTCTACTTTGATTTACTATCGCCCTTATTATTAATCATATGACTATTGCGACTAACGGTTATTTAATTCAACATTATTCGCAGAGTTTTTAGTATAGCCGCGGAAAAGAGTAAGTTTCTTTCTTTCGTCTTCTTTGCAGTACCTTAAGTTCTCACGTAACAAGCGTAACACGCACAAAATACAAAAAATTTTTTACATCACACTTGTACACTTCGAGAAAATTTCTACATACGCGATACGAGAGTTTCTTCGACCGTAATGTAAAGATGCCGACGGAAATTTATACATATGTAATATAATTCGCGCAGCCGCGTGCTGTTCTACACAATAAAAAGCCTATAATATCTATGATCCCCGTCTTGTCATTCCTCACCTTTCCCGATCTTTACGAATTTCCGCCAAAGATTAATTAATCTACATTAAGGAATTCGATGTCGCAATAAATGTTCCAATTTTTTATTATATCACAAGGACGCGCATAAACTTGTATATCTAAAATAAAAGTAATAGATAAAACGTGTACAAAGGGACGAAAACAATGTAAAAATCCTAAAAAACGGTGCGACCGAGTGAAACGTTCATTTATCCCACCAAAGTGCATGTGTTCTCAGCGCATGCGATTGTTATGCAAGCCTTTTTATCTTACATCTCTTCTTCACCTCCGGCCTCCAGAGAATCCGTGGCGACTTCCTGATAATCTTTTTCTAACGCGGCCAGATCTTCCCTAGCTTCGTGAAATTCGCTCTCATCCATATTTTCGGCGACATACCTGACGGACGTGTTATAATTCGCGAATGAGATGAATTCATGGAAACAGTTAATCGTTTAACTCAATTTGGCGACATAAAAGCCAAAAATAAAAGCCCAATTTTGTGATATTTTACCAATGAACAAACGCTCGCTTGCTGAACATTAAATCGAATTTTCTGTTCAATCTGCTCCACGCCTCGGAAATCGCGGTAGTGTTCGCCAACATGGCCATGGCCCTTTGCACCTTCGCCAAATCACCGCCTGGTACCACGGTTGGCGGTTGATAATTGATTCCTACCTATATTATTCCCAGGATAATAAAATGTCAGTCGATACCAAAAACTATCGCGTAAGCTAGATAACCAAGCAATAATTAATGTACATTCATAAAGCGCGAAGAATAATGTTTCCAATCCTTGAATCGCAAGTTGTGAAAAAATTAACATCGGCAATAATTAACCTTGAAGCCCGTCGGACACCAGTCGACGAACTGTATCGACCTCTTCGTCTTGATGGTCGCTATAGAGGCGTTCACGTCCTTCGGCACCACGTCGCCTCTGTACAGCAAGCAGCACGCCATGTACTTGCCCCTTCGCGGGTCGCACTTGACCATCTGCATGGCCGGCTCGAAGCAGGCCGAGGTAAGCTCCATCACAGTCAACTGTTCGTGGTAAGCTTTTTCGATGGATACGATCGGCGCGTACGTCGCCAGGGGAAAATGTATTCTTGGATAAGGCACGAGGTTCGTCTGGAACTCGGTAAGATCGATGTTGAGCGCGCCGTCGAACCTCAGCGACGCCGTGATCGCGGAGACAATCTGGCCGATCAGCCGGTTCAGATTCGTGTAGGTCGGCCGTTCAATGTCCAAGTTCCGCCTGCAAATGTCGTAGATCGCCTCGTTGTCCACGAGGAACGCGCAGTCGGAGTTCTCCAGGGTGGTGTGCGTCGTCAGAATCGCGTTGTACGGCTCCACGACGGCCGTGGAGATCTGCGGCGACGGATATATGGCAAATTCCAGCTTGGACTTCTTGCCGTAGTCCATGGACAGTCGGTCCATCAGCAGACTGGCAAAGCCGGAGCCAGTGCCGCCGCCGAACGCGTGGAAGATGAGGAAGCCCTGCAGGCCGCCGCACATATCGGCTATTTTGCGGATTCTGTCGAGCACCAGGTCGATGATTTCCTTGCCCAGAGTGTAATGGCCGCGCGCGTAATTGTTCGCGGCATCCTCCTTGCCGGAGATCAGCTGCTCGGGGTGGAACAGCTGATGGTACGTTCCCGTGCGGACCTCGTCTGGGGGCGAGTCGACGGAGTTGGTAAATTGGTGAACAGCGCGCTGACGATGATTGCCGAGAAACGTGCTTACCTATCACCGTCGGTTCGAGATCGAGGAAGACGGCTCTGGGTACATATTTTCCACCGCCTGTTTCGCTGAAGAAGGTCTGGAAACCTTCGTCGTTCGTGCAACTCTGCGGTGACAACATGCCGTCGGGTTGTATGCCGTGCTCCAAACAATACAGTTCCCAACAGGCGTTGCCAATCTGCACGCCGCCTTGGCCGATATGGACCGAAAGTACTTCGCGCTATCCATTTCGGTTAATTAAAATGTATTATCGCAAAACTAACACTTGTCATAAAGTTATTCCAACAGCATATATAAATCCTATTCATAAATGCATATTCATTTATTTCTATATTCTACAGTTGTAATGAGGTTGATAACGCTTATCGATCCAATATTTAATTATGCAGAAAAAAATAATCGATAATTTTCGAATGGCTGAATCTGCGAATAATTAAGTTATAATCTCGATAGTTACCATTTTGAAAATTCGTTAGCTTGCAGCGAGAGGTGGGATAAGCGAACAATATTGGCACCGAAAATGTTTGACGGATTAATGACGCGAGACAATTTGTTTCGCAATTTTGTTTTCGTTGCTCAGGGAGATGGCAAATTCCACTCTTAAAAAAGGCATGAAAGATCGATACTCGAATGTATCGAAAGTATTGTTGACGCTTTTCCGCGACGCTGAACGATTTAGTTAAAATGTTAAAGCCTTTAATTTTCAATAAAAAATATAATCTATTTTTATATTTATTTCAACGCGTGTATGTAATTTATATTGCGCACTTTATAGGAAATTGTGCGATTGCAATCCATAGAAAAGTACGCGAAAAGTAAACTCATATTGAACTACGCATTGGAAATTGCAGTTGCATTGAGATTGCATAAGATTTGAACAATCAGAGCAAAAAAGTCTCTTTCCTCTTTACTCTAATCAGTCACACGTAATCCTAATGCAATCTAAAATTTCAAAGCGTAATCTAATAGATTTCACGAAAAGCTTTCGCCCCTGTACCAAATGCATTTTCAAAAATTGCATCCGGTGACGAGGTGGCCGAGAGGTTAAGGCGTTGGACTGCTAATCCAATGTGCTCTGCACGCGTGGGTTCGAATCCCATCCTCGTCGATCATAATTTTTTGCGACTCCCGAAGCAACTTTTCTCTGAGAATATTACAGACGCAAAGAAAGTTCCGTGCTCGGAACTGAAAACCTAATCAAGTCCGCAAATCGTTAGAATAATATTTTTCCAATCAAAGATACAGAAAGAATTTGTGAGAAAATCTTTCTTACATAAATACATTTTTTGTATTACAATAATATATGTTTGGCATACATATTAAATCAATAGACAATTAAAAAATGCATAAAACGCATTACGTTTCTTACTGTAAATTAGTTCTATTTCTAAAAGGCACCATTTAGCTCCTGGATTTGTTAATTAGTATAAATATATGATTATTGGCAGTATATTTCTTATAAAAATAATCTCCGTGCAAAATTAGTCAGAAATAACGATATTTTTGGTCAAAATTGCGCATACGAGTGCACATCAGCGAGCACGCGAAATCTTCTTGCTTTTATCGTTTTCGATGGCTGGCGGCGGACCTTTGGCGCTTTGGTGTCGATTGTAAACGCTGCAAAAATTGATAGTGGCAAAATACTCATTAAGACTCCTCTCTATCGATAACTATGTTAGTTATTTTCAATCACAGCGTTAGAAGTGAAAAAAAAGTTGCGAAAAAATCCAAAAATCGTTCAAAAGTTTCCCATTTAAGTTCCCAAAAACCCTGTGAAGCTTTCAATTCTCAAATATTTCTACGACGAGTTTTCCTAAGCGATTAAAAACACCTACTATCGATACGTTTCCGAGCGAATGTAGTCCATGACGTGAGATATGCCCACTTGCAGCTGATCGCCGATCGGGGTAACCCACGGATTGAATTCCATTCGGAACACCGCTTTGTTACTCACTAGATCCAAGTTCCCTGCAAGATAAATTTATGCAGCACTCGTTCCATCCGCGATCGATTTACGTCACGCATTTTTTTTCTATCTACCTATCTCGGGCGGCAACACCGTCAAACGATTGCCCTGGATATGCAGCTCTCTGAGACGAGTCAACTCTCCGATCTCTTTCGGCAACTCGATCAGATCGTTCTCCCTCAACACGAGCTAAAATATTTTAATCGAAATTTCTCATCGAAAATCAACAATTTATTGTAACACTGGAAAATTATAAAGACTCTAAATTTCTTACAATTTGGAGATTTTTCAACTGGCCGATTTCGGGCGGCAGATATTCGAAATCATTGTCAGCTAGATAGAGCGCTCTTAGGGTCTCTAAAGAAAAGAAAAATTTACTTGCGATTTGCGGAAAAGCGCGTTAATTCATCTGACAACTCTGACTAACCCATCATGAAGAAATTGCCAGGTAGATTCTTTTCGCTCAAGTTATTGTACGTCAGGTCTAACACCTCGAGGACCGGAAATGCGCCGAAACCACGAGGAAGCACGTCTAACCGGTTCATTCTGCCGGAAGTTAAACACTCTAATAAATTTCTGCCGCGGCGTAGATTTAGAGCGTGGCACATCCTGTGAATTGTACTAACCCTGCGTTCAAGATCCTCAACTTCGGCATTTGCGACAGGGAGATAGGCAGCTCGGTGATGTGGTTGTTGAACAGATTTAGTATCTCTAGATTAACTAGATTCGCGAGGCCCGGTGGCACGGCTGTATCGAAAACAACGTGATGAATCAATTGAATTACTATTCGACAAAGTTGGGTTTGCTACAATTCTTACCTTGAATTTTATTGTGACTTAATGTCAATCTCGTTATATTAATCATGTTCACTGAAACATAGCAAAGCGAAAATCTCTGTAATTTTACTTCCGACTCATCATGATGTGTCGTGAAAATTCATTATTATACGATATTTGCATTTCACAATGTTCATCGTTTAATTTTATTTACTAAAAATAATTTATTATTTCTAATCCCGTTTTTCGAATTCCCAAATTTCGTTTATAATATCATAATTTTATAAACTCACAATCTATTGTTTTTATCTCGTATTTACACTTGTATTTGCATCTCCGTCTAATGTTTAAATATTTCAAACGTTAAAATGCACGTCATTTTGATCATTTGCTTATATCTTGAATTGTTTACGTCGTACGCGAAATGTCAAATTTAAATGGAGAGCGCGAACACGCGCGTCTCGGCACGCCCACGTGCTCCGCGCAGATGGCTGCGCTGCGGATCGCTCCGAAAAACCAGCCGCGACAAGTTGCCTAATTTGGCGATCCGCGCGTGAGGCGACGCGCACGCGAGGGTGTGGATGAAAACTCACGTAACCCCGGCATCTCTTCGAACGTCGCGATACCCTTGTCCGCGAGATCCAGCTCGGGATTCTGGATCTCCCGTGCCTCGTCCAGCACCTTCTTTGCCTTTGACATCTTCCCCGCAGGAATACACGATACTGGCGCGGTCTGATTCATTGCGCGCGCAATCGCCGTAGCACACACGTCAGAAAGTATCACCCGGAGCAAATATGAACGACGATTCTGTGAGTCACGCGCTACTCCGGCGCACTCTGTTCCATCGTTCCTACCGATGGAGCCGACCTCCTCGTGTTCGTTAGATGGCGGTTCGTGTACCTCATTCGACTCGTTCCTTTATCCCGCAAGAATGACTGAACCACACAGTAAGTTTGGACTTAACAAATCCACGGAGCTCATACATTGCGGTAGTATACATACATGTACACATACACTTACACACACATTGTTAAGAACTTTAAAATAATTTAAAAGTGCGAATCAAGTAGAGAAGAATTTTAGAACAAGAGAGAATGTACGTGCTAGCAAGATGAACTTGATCCTTTTTTCATTAATAAAAAAAAGTATTATATAATGGCTACCGAGCCATCGCGGTTGTTGATGCGTGTAAAAAAAAATCGTTCCTTTAGCTCTGATTTCACTTCCACTTGCAATTTTTGACTTTATAAAACTTGACATCAACTTTCTTCAACCTCTTAAGCCTCTCTTACTTCTGCAGGAAATATATAGTTTCAACAATAGATTTGAGCTTCCTTAAATTTATGCATTTTTTTGCAGCATAACAAAAAAATAATTTTTATTTAAATCGCTCAGTATTTAAAGATGGCAATTTTGAGATAAAATTGTCAAAATATTGAAAGAAAAGAATTTTATTTAGAACTTTAATGCTAAATGAATTATTTAGAAGCCGTCGAAACAAAAATTCGAGGAGGATCGGCGCCTAAGTATGTCTGATCGGCGTCGCGTTAATAAATCGCGCGTAATTACAAATGAGATCGCGAGATTAACCGCGCGAGACGGCAGGATGATTTTAATAAACTGGTTTTAATAATGTTCGGCATTTTTGCGGAGCCTGCTGCGGTTGAAACCGGAGCTGCGCGCATTCCGCGACGGTTCGAGCGCAACGGCGATGTGCGATTAGCGACGTAAAGGATAACAGAAAAGGAAATTCTCTCGGCTAAGATAAGATCTGGAGAGTGAAATGATTTATCCGCCGATAGAAAATTGCGATCGCTTTTGTATAGCGTGCCCTCCTTAATTCATCAATTTAGAAAATAGCCGTGCTTAACCATCGATGCATTTATGCCTTATTGTCGACGATAATAAATGATGTAATGCTGTGCTACTCGATATTTTCTTTTTGCAATTTCCACGATAAGTTGAAAGTAAATCTTGCAGTTGTTTCGCTCTTGCTATAAGTTAATCTAGAATTTGAAAGATTCAATTGTTATCAAAAATGAGTACAAATTACTTTTAAAATATCTTTTCCGGTAGCAAATCTTGTCAATCATCGCCTTCTGGAGAACCATTTTGCCATTTAAAAATGATACAAAATAAGAATATTGTTGCTTCGCTGTTGCTTGTGATAATTAAAACGTCTAATAGCAATTCTTAAGAATCGGATAACATTTCTAAAAATTATCTGAACGGTGTGCGACGATTTCTGGCGAACGGACGACTCGTTTCTTCCACGTGCCCGGCATCGTTTTCTCCGTTATCGGCAGGCGGCCGCGGTAACAGGGGCAGGCTAAAAGTACGAGAGAGGAGAGTGTGGCGCCAAACAGCACCCGAGGGCTCGTAAGGTTAGCGACCTTGACGTGCATGTAAAGGCAAAGGACAGGACAAGCCGCGCGCGAGCGCTCGCGAACGGCGACGCGGGCGCCCACCTCTTCGAGCATCCATCATTGCTATCCGGCAATCAGTGCCAAGCAACATTATCGGTCAATTTACTGACGCCGTGACCGGTCTCGCCGTGCCGGCACGGAAAAAGCAAATCTCGTTACCGCAACGAGAGGAGAGCCAGCCGCCTTTCCAAACGCAACGTTCGCAGCGCACAACGCAACGCTGTTCTCCGCACAGTGGTCCTTTATAACGAGCGAGCGCAAACTGCAGGGCTCGTTGCTCGCAGTAAATTTGTGAGTTAAAACGAAGATCTATAAATTTAGGACTTCTCAAACAGTTTAAAATAATCCGATCGAATTTCAGCTTCTAGGAAGAAGATTTGAAAAATTGGCTATCTTGGAATTGACACTTTCTGACGCAAAATTACATCGATCATAACTCTCCTTCGTTTTTTAATGCCTTCCAAATCTCTTCATCGCGGCAGAAACGGCGCGCATTCAGGAAATCACGTGTATCGTCCTAAACGAGTCTAACACGACGAAGGAAGGAAGGGGACACATGTGACGCGCGCGTTCCGCACGCGTGCTCGAGCGGAGCGGGATGCGAGCAAAGGTGGGTGACGAGAGAGAAAGAGAAAGAGAAGAGAGCGAACGATGAGAGAAAGAAGAGGAAGAGAGGAGTGCGCAGACTCCGCCTGGCGTCCGTGCGAGAGGAATATTCAGTGCAACGTATATAAAAGCCCGTTATGCTCGGCGACCAGTGTGGCTGCACACGTGTGCATTGGTGTATGGTGTACTCTATAAATAGATGTAGCAGACCGCAGAGATTCTAAGCACCCCGCCTCTCCTTTCATACGCGGCCGCGCGGTCGATAGTGCGCAACGGCGGAAAACTCACCCATATCTCGCCGCAAAATCGGAAACTCGAGAAAATTATTATTTTTCTAAATACACGACGTACGCGCCACGATAATGATTATAATCACGGCGGAGCGCATGAAAAAGCGATCCCCTCTTAATGCCAATGTTAATAAGAATCTTAAAGCAGTCAAGTAGCAGAAACTTAAGAGATATAGTTAACAGTGGAGATCGTTGCCGTGCAAGTTTCCTTTAAAATAACGAATTACACTTGAAATATAACGTATTTATTCTTTCGTCATCGTTAATAAAATTTACATCGTTGAGATGCTAAAACCGAATTGCCAAAAATTCAAATAGAATCTATTCCATATTTGAATAAAAAATTTTTGAAACTCCAAATTCTAGTGCCATTCAGATATTAGTTTAATGACGACGAGACGATAGTGACTATTACGTTGCTGAAGTGAGAAACGCCCGAGGAGGCGCGTCCCGTCTCGAATCTGTGCTTCCTGTGCCACTTCCGTGAGACACAGAAGCGCGTTCAGGCTCCCGTATGTCCCGACGTTAATAAGGCATCGATGTAACTGTGCAATTTAAAACTCCATTTTCATGGCGCGAGCCGTTATGAGATACCGGTGCGACCAACCGATACCGGCAGGCAGCTTCTGTTTTCGGCAATGAGGATGTCAGACGAGTTACGACACCGTACGGCAGGTGTTACAGGAAGCGAGGCCGCGCGATCCTCCTTCCCTTCTTCTTTTTTTCTTTTTTTACATCGCACCTTGATCCCCATTAATCCCTCACCGACTTGTATTTATGGTTAGCAAAAAAAAAAGAATCTCAAGCACTAATATTTTTAGACGCCTAAATCCTCGGATTTGCGGAGTCAAATGCGCGAGAACTTTCTGGATCTAAAAATATTTCCGACAGACCTCTCTCTCGCGAAGCAAAGCAAGACTCGGATTCCGCAAGGTTCAATTTCACAGAAAAAAAGTTCGAGGGATCCTTGGTAATGTCAGGATAGCACTTTAGGACTAGCACTGAATTATCTTCGCGGCGCAACATTGTAAGCAACCCGCAGGCTCGCGTTCTGAAGCCGAACGTGATGCGAGCGGCGAGCGAAGTGGAAGCTGCAAGGCCGCGAGTTGTGATCTCTTCAAGGGCCTCAAGGTCAGCGATACAATCGACGGCGCTTGAGGACGACGAGGGAGCAGGCGGAGGACAGCCGGAGGGTGAACGGGGGAAGAGGGGGAGAGACAGGGGAGGTGACCAGTTCGTTGCATAATTGCGTCACGTTGTCCGGGAATCACTGCCCTGGACGCGCACACTGGCGCGTTTTGCAAAAACCTGTAGCAAACTGGATTCTCTTCACTGTGTGTTGTGTGTATACAACTGCGCATATATTCTAGATATTCGCGCGGAGAACGCAACCTCCTCGATCGCGCGAATAAAAGGTCCTTCACAATGTTACACTTCGCGATAACGAAGTACGCTCGAGCTCTTAGAAACTAGAAACCGGAAAATTTATATCCCAAGTTACTTCTCGAGGTGTCAATTTTACGGGCATTTAATATTAAATCTCTGTGCGATCCCTAACGCGCGTTTACACATCGATTTCGCGGCGCGGCGACATCAGCGATCACAGACGCTTCTTTCCGTCTGGTCAGATGTATTCGAGAACTCGTTTCCTTAATGATTTCAGATCGAGCTTCTTGACATAATTCAGCACTTACCGATGCCTCGTAACCGTGATTTTTTTTCTACGGTACGCTTCCCGTCGCGCGCGCGCGCGCACGGACGTAATTTGTGCCCGCTGCTCGCTGCCTGGAACGATTAACTGATACAAACGATTAGACGGCCGGTAGCAACGTGAAATTATTAGCACTGGCGCCAGTTATCTCGCGTCTATCCTTCGCCGCGTCGCGTCTCGTTTTTTCTTCCGTCCTCCGAAGATGCGAATTCACCGCGCCCGTCACTTACCGCGCTACTTTACGCGCGACTGTTTGCGCGCGATGCGACTCCATTAACAATTCTGCGGTGAGATAACGCGGATACAGATCGCTTTTCCACCGAGCGGAGATTATGTCAAGGCTACTACGAGTCTTATTTATAACGTGCATTTTATTCTTAAAAGCGATTATCCGATTCTCCAGTACTTGTGACGCAAGCGATTGTATCGCATGCACGAATCGCAAAATTAAATGACTGTGATTAGCGCTAATCGATACTTTGAAGTAACCTTTAATTGATTAACCGGATTTTACAACATATGATTCTTAAGTGAAATAG